GACGCACCGCCCGGGCAAAGCTGCAGCCGCCTGAGGCTCTGTACAGAGCGCCCGGGCGGCTGCAGCATGGGGGGGCCGGCGCTCCTGGCGGCACCCCCTCCCAAGGGGCGCCCTAGGCGGCTGCCTAGTCCGCCTTACAGGTAGCGCCGGCCCTGAGTTTGCCAAGAGAGGCAGTATGAAGTGACAACAGAAGGGGATCAAGAACAGAACTTTGGGGACTCCAACCGAGACAGGATGAGGGAGGAAGTGTCATTGAAAAAGTAGAGACTGAATGAGCGTTGGTAGAAATAGGTAGAGAAACTCACCAGAGGACAGTGTCAGAGACAGGGGGTTCCAAGAGTTTGGAGAAGGATATGATCAAGAGTGTCAAAGGTGGCAGAGAAGTCAAGAAGAATTAGCATGGAGAAGTGGCCTTATGAGTGTGCCCCTTCATTCTATTCTCCACTTTGTTTTAGGACAGCACTTTCTAGTCATGCCCTCTGATTCAGTGAGGAGTGAATGGTATTTCTTGGTTCTCTGACTCCTAATGTGACTTCAGGAAATCTGCCATCATACTTTGTATGACGAGTATTGCTTGTTAACAAGCTCCTTCAACCTGCTGTGTGCTATTTTGGAATAACAGATTTTAAAACTGTGGCATGTGCTCCCTTGTAGTTCCTGGAGGAGCATGGCTGAGTTTGTCCTACCTATACTGTGAAAGTCGGGTCTCGAGTCCTTTTTCCACAGAAAGAATGCCATTCCCGTTAGTAGTCCTGCCCTTTGATATAGAGAAATAGACCCTGGTTACTGAGGTCCCATTACCCTCTATGGAGCTCTCACTGATTGCTCTGGCAACGCACGCACTAGGCTCGGGTGGATCACCTGTTGGGGTTCGGCTCCGGTGCCTGCAGAAGCGGCTGCTGTTATGGTGAGACTAACACCAGAGGGGAGAATGCAAGCATGAACCTACTGCCCTGTAACCCGCAGGGCAACGGCCTGCTGTATGCAGAGCCAGTGCAAGGATTCCTGCCACCCTAGGCAACAATCCATTTTGACACCCCCTCATGAATACAACTACATTCCCTAAGATTTATTCCCTAAACTCTGAACTGCAGTGAAGAGACATTTAGGAAGAGAGACACAGACATTAAAGGGAAACTATAGTGCTAGGAAACCAAACTCGTTTTCCCCTCGCGCTATAGCTTCCCCCTGTCAAGCGCCCTTACCTTGTGGTGCAAAAGTTGCAAAAAAACAAAACAAAAACCCTTCCGTCACTTACCCAGGTCCACGCTTATGTAGCTCCGCTGACTCACTATCACCTTCACTCCTCAATGGCCGCATTATGATTTCCCCTTAGGAAGTTATACAATGTTTTCCTATGGGGTTTAGCAAGATGCTGGACATCCCCATGAATAGCCACTAGAAGTGGAGTTAACCCTGAACGGTAATCATTGCCGTTTGTTAAAGGGACAATGTAGTCACCCAGACAACTCCAGCTTAATGTTGTTCAGGTGAGAACTATAGCTCCCAGCAGCCTCTCATGTAAACACTATTTTCTGAGGAATATATAGTGTTCACATTGAAAGCTAGGAACACCTACAGTTTTAGTCACTCAGAGGGACTCCTGAGTTGGAGGCATAATAGGCCTCCATCCACTCAGATCTGCCGTGCACGAGCATCCTGTGATTCAGTATCTCCTCCCTCTGTACATTGAACTTTCCTCAGAGATTCTTTGACTCCATTCATCTATATGAGGAGATGCTGATTGGCCAAGGATGTGTTTGAATCATGCTGGCTCTGCCTCCTTGTCAGTTTTAGCCAATCCTATGGGGAAGCACTGTGATTGGATCAGGTTATCACAGGTCAGCAGAATGCTTGTTTTTCCCTGAGTCTAACAGCATGCAGATTTACAGCTTCTGGCTTGAATACAGTAAGATTTACTACATTTAATGGAAGCATGAGAGGCAAGACAAAAGACATACCTTGTGTAGAGTAATTGATGAGCTTCACAGGTTGTCCTTCATCCTAACTGTCAACTGGGGTTTAGTCCAGTTCAGATCCTAAATACACCACTGCATGACGTGACATCAGGTTTAAAAAGCTACTTCCCTTGACATGCCATTGATTGACTCACTCAATTCCCTGGGCAGAGTTTACCTGCAAAAACACAACCCCTACTGCATTATACAATAGTCATGGAGTGCCAGTTGGCAAGTCATTTGGCTGACATCTAGGTTACTAGCCAGGATTGTTATAGTGTGGAGCTACACATACCACTAATGTCCATAGATTTAGGGATGTTACAGTAAGGATAAGGAAAGATACCAAGAATTGAGACCACCACCTGTGGTATTGTAAACAGATCCACAGACATTGGAACAAGTGATTGTAATTTGTTTTTATTTTAAACCAAGGCAGAACATTGAATTGATGTAGTTTATGCAACAAGAGGCATTCTGTAGGGTTTGATTTGTCTGTGCAAGACTGTATTCCATACAGAGGATCAGTCCATCTCATGGTTTGTAGTCTTCCTGGGTGACCATCAAGTTATAGTGACTGATCCCTTTCCACATTCCCTGTATCATGGTCTCATAGCCAAACAAGGTGCGGATCTTGGCACGGAACGGTACATCCATTTCTCCCTTGGTCACAGATGCGACCATACGTATTGAATGCCCACCTGGTACCTCCACATCTGTGCTGGAGGAGAAGGTTGTCTGCAGAAGAAGTCAAATGGTTAGATACTAGCAGGAGCAATATTTCATCATGAATAGTCAAGAACATGTTACCTGTACAGAATATCCATTTATTGCACAAATTAACTGGTTGAGAGAAGGGTCAAAAAGCATGATGCAGCTTTAGGCTATTTCTATTGTTTGACCTCTTGTAAGTAGAGGTTGGGCAATAGTGTACAGACTGGCCAGGAAGGCTTAAGCTGTTCTTGTTATATGGGTGGCTTGTTACAGCTGCTCCAATATAACAAATGATATCTGTGGCTGTGTATCTGTAGATGTGCAAAGGTTAATATATGGTGCTAGTGTGCTACCATAGCATTTAATGTGGGAGTAAAAATAAAATAGGACTGTTTTGGGACGCAGCCCTTTTTCAATTTACAAACAGTCCCTTTTGTCCGAGATGAGAGTCAAGGAACCAGAGACTTGTATTAGGTATTAGCTACTTTGTTACACGTAGAGCCAGGACACATACCATGCCTGTTGCTTCCCCTCCAATAACGCAAGAGCATGTTCTAAAACAAACTATACAAAATCTGAACATACATATTGATACCATTATTTAATCCACCCTTACCTGGATTTCATTGGTCTTGGCGAAATTCCAGGTATGAGTTGTGCTCACATTGATGGAAATCTTGGTCTCCATTTCTCCTATGAATGGGACTCCAGCTTTGAAGGACATCTCTGCACCAACAGCCACTGTGAATCCATGTTCCTGGCTGAAAGTGCTGCTCTCAGTTATGGTCTTGGAGAAGCTAGAAAGACAAACCCGTCACATTAATATATTGAGAGAGAAGGAGAATAGCCTGAGACAATCCAGAAAGGATATTAAGCTAATCACTGGATTTTTTAACACCCTTTCCTAGGGGCACTCCAGATTATATCAGTGTCTCATTCAAAAAGGAGAATTGGAAAATTATGTCATGTTTGCCTCCAACTCTTTATTGGTGGGGAAGAAAGGGAATGCCCTACTGGATACGATGACATACATACCCTGGGTAGTGGGAGGGAGCACAATGTGTGTTGGAAGGAGAATATTGTGATCTTATTCTTGCAGAAACTCCGCCTGCAAGGTTGCATAGGATCCCAACTCTTGCCAGTGTGCACAATATGGAACATTTCTGGGCTGCAACTAGCTCCCAACACAGAATTACAAGGACTTCTGGATTTGCCATGTTTGAAGCTAGAAAGGTAGGAACTGCACTCAGTCCCCAAGCAGCCACCCAGTGCAGAACCAACTATCCCACTACAGCAGAGCTAATAGAAAAATAAATAATGACCAAAAAAAAAAATAAAGATAATCCAATGAACATTGTGCATGGTAGGACACCAAGAATAGTCAGGTCAAAGGAGAACAAAGATGTAGTCTGAGACCAGACAACTGGACAGTTTTCCTGTAGGTATTCTAATATTTGCCATTACAAGTCAATTCTTTCCTTGATAACCAGACAGTTCCATCCAGAAGTGAAGTGTGAGAAAAAGCTGTGCAAAAGACATGCTCACCTAAGACAAGCATTAGCAACCAGTAGCTTCTAGCAACTACAAGTTCCCAGACTGACAGTTGTGGTTTGCTGGTAAAGCAGAGAAACACCTGAGAATGCAACTTCACCCTGTGTCAGGGACTGGAACAAGACTTGTTCAATAGGAAGGGTTAATGCCCCTTCTGCCTGACTAGAAGCAGCCAGCAATGAGTAATAGGATAACAAACCAGTCGCCAAGTGGAGTCTAGTAGCCATTAGTGACTGGCTTTCTGTAGCAGAAGCTGGCAACTATTTTAAGACTGGAAAAGAGACATTTTCTGAGTAGAATCAGAACTGCACTCAATCCCATAACTCTGGGCCAGGGTGCAACTAAACCAGTGACCAGCACTAGATCCCAGATACCGTATGCAAAGACATAGGTTTAGGCACTCCATGGTCCAAAAATAAAGGGAACGTTTAATTAAACCAGATCAGCAGCAATGTTTCAACCTTTAAGGTCTTCCTCAAACTAGCAAATAAGGGATACACCCCATCATTTTAGAAGCAGTCACAAAATGAATGAAAAAGCATCACATAAGTGAAGCTCACTCATTAAGGAGGACTGGCAGCAGTGTTGAAGACTATGACCAATGTAAGAGCAGTATATCCAGAACACACAATTGTTCAACAGAACAACCTCAGAGCACATCTAATGGCAATTATATTCCCAAATCTATCCTGCAAACTTCCCATTCAGAGAAAGACCTTAAAGGTCAAACTGTTGCCGCTTGTCATCTAGTTTGATTAATCTTTCCTTTCTTGGACCACCTAAACCTTTGTTTTGCATAGAAGAGTCACAAGCACCAACACAGGCATTATAACAAAGCACTATCTGCCAATAAGTAGCCCTAGGACTGTAAACAAGGCTTTCCTCAACCTTGGTAAAACAGACACCATGCTCTATTCAGCCATTATAGAATCATGTAACTTATGAAGGATTTTAATGTAGAGAGACCACCAACCTTTTAGTATTCAAAGTATTGTATATAGTGCACCATCCTGTACTCTATGTAATCTTGCCAATAGGTATAAGTACCTGCAGAGCTAAAGTCCTATTCCATTAGTCAGGCCTAGAAGTGAGTGACTACTGCAAGCCTGAAGGATCCATGGAACACTGAGGGTGAATTTCTGCTTGCCACAGCTGAAGTGGTCACTCGCCAGTGGCAAGTTGAAATTGGGATCCCTGAGTGGATGAGATTGAGGTTTCCATTACTTACGAGAAGGTGTGCTTTAATGGAGTGCTGCTCTTGTTGTTATAGATCTGGGTCTGCACCACCTCTGTGCCTTGGGATAGGATTTTCCCTGAATCTGGCAAGAATTCAAAGCTCACAATACTCTGGATGGTTTTATCAATGGTGAAGGAAAGGAGGGGGTAGACATTGTAACCCCAGCCCAGTTTCTCTGCCTTTTCAATGTAGTTGGTATCAGCCTTGGTCGGTGCTGGTCCTTTATAGATGTTGCCATTCTTTGAATCCACACACCACAGGTCTGACTCTAGGGTGAAAGCCATGAAATGGGTCAGAATGCGCCAGCCTCCTTTTCCAATGGTTGTGCTGGAGGCAAGCCAGTTATCGTCTGGTTTGGTTGGAGGGCTTCTCATCACAAGCTTGTCGTCACTGGTCACTGCATACAGGATGCCTTTAGGGTCAAAGAAAAGGGCATCAAATTCATGCCAGCCGTCGGTTCCTATTTTGGTGGCTTGGCCATAAAGCCAGGACACGTTTTCATTGCTCGGTGCTGGACCCTTGTAGAACTCCCCATTCTTGGTAGATGCATACAGAAGGCCATTTGGATCAAAGAAGATGAATTTAAACCCTTCCCAGTCAGTTTTGCCCACTCTCTTGGCAGTAGAGAAAAAGTCCAGGTTTGGATCTGAAGGCATAGCTCCCATGAAGAGTTCTTTACCACGCACAGCAAACAGCACCCCTTCTGGGTTAAAGGCAATCTTACTGACATTATTCAGCTTCCCTACAATGCTAGATCTGGCATCAAAGCTATCCAGAAGATTCTTGGGTGGTAATCCAGCTCTGGCAACATAATCCTTCACAGCAAACAGGAGGGTATCTGGAAGTCAATAGGAAGAGGTTATAGCCACTATTGGTAGTCCACAACACAATATGAAAGTACAACTGCAAGGGATTTAAGTCATAAGCCTAGATATTGAAGGTTTAAATTGGATTGAAGACAGTTCAATAAAACCCCAGCAGCACAGGAAACAACCCTTCCAGAACCCAGAGCTCCAGACAGGAGCCATTTCTTTTGGTCTACATTACAGGGTTCTTTTTATCTGCAAAGATTTCAAATAAACCAAGGAGGACACATTCGTTTTAGAGATGTCAGTGTGGCCAGGAGCTAGCCTGTTGCGAGATGTTTTAGGAGACTTCCTAACAATTTATGCAATGTAGGGACATTTGGGAGGTATGCAGTATTAAGGTTCTGTCCCACTGTCCTGGGTTTTTAATGTGCTACCCTACCAGCAGCATTAGGCACAATTTTAAATGTATATAGCCAAACAGGAAAGTGTGTCACCAGATCAGCTGAGGTTAAATTTTGAATTAGACATTTTTAATCCAGAGAGTTTATTTAAAGGAACACTAGTGTAAGAAATAGAAACATGGATTACTGATTCTAATGCTAGCATGGCTCACTCTAACAAGGTGATTTTGCTCACCTTTTCTCCCATACCAGTATGTGGATGTGATCAGTTTTGATGATCTCAACCCATCCAATGACCCCCATAGGAAATCATTTAGGAGGTTAGTGTGTCTGCTTTGCACAAACACTGAATCAATTAGTATCTCCTCAGATTGAAAGCAAAGAAACCAAGGAAGATTAACTAAATGTCAAGTTTACATAGAGAGTTTCATATAGTTTATTTGAAGCACCAACAAGAATACAGTGTTTCCACTTTGTCAATACCAACATTAAGGCCATTTAAACTGTATGTAGCACTCCTTGTGCACATTTGGCAGCACAGTTTTCTATATTTGGATTTGGCCCTAATTTGAGAAACAGGGTGCAAGGTTAGCAGCACAGGTTAGGTTTTAAATCCAGGCGTTTGGGTACTAGAGTAACACCTCTATCACCATGCAGAGTGTTGAGACTGAAGGTAAACACAGAAAGCCCCTCGAGGTGGTACTAGAGTGTAAAAGAGAAATACATTGTATTTACATTGCAAAGCCTGTAGGTTTCATCACCAGAACTACTGCCTTAAGTGGTAGTGATTCTGGTGACTATAATTTCCCTTTTAAGATCACAGATGAGTTCTGACAAACAGTAACAGTCAGTGAGGAACTTCTAAGACCATCACAGAATTAATCAGCTATAAAGTGAGATACTCCCAACTAATGCTCAGTATATAAAGCCCTGCAGAATGAGCTTCCAAAACACAAGGATCACTTACCTGGTGTATCCATTATCAGAGAGAGATCAGAAAACAAGCTCCCAAACTCTCTAGACTCTCAGCAGGGAACCTTTTGGGGTCTCTGGCTTGTGTGGATCACGAAAGGGCTCCAGATATATCTCTATCATTAGTGATTAGCTTTATAGTCAGGACCCCTCCCCACACACAGCTGTACCTGGTTTAATGAGCAGGGTTATCAGACTTTGAACAATATGATACTAAGTTTACAGGTAGGTCACCACAATATTGAATTTTATATGGCTCTGGAAACAATGGGGGAGATGTATAAAAAGTTGTGCATTATTTATTTTCTTGACAAATTTGTGGCTCATTTGCCATTTTGGGGCATTAAAGACAAGATTGACAATAATCTCCCCGATGTATAAAGTTGGAGTAACAGTTTTATACATGAGAAAATGGAACATTCACACAAAACAGGCAGAAAAGTTCATCAATATGACAATGTTTCTTCATCTGAACCAACTGTCGTCCTTTGTACTGTTTGGTTTGGATAAAATTCAGACAATATTTTCCAATAAGAGTTTAATTCAGACTAAAGAAATTCTGAGTCCTATCCTGCATCTTACAACTGTTGAGCTGATAACCCCCGAAACTGGTAAACTTATGTTGGGTTGCCATATTTAAGGGCACCAAATTAGGGAGATGTTTAGTAAATAGCTCCATTATTTATTATTCTTATGCAAATCTCACATAAGGAGACCAACACTATTAACCCCTTAACGTTGGTGGGAGTTCTATGCCGTTCTTGGAGGCCCTGTCCTAAACGCCGGCGGGCAGCATATAACGGCCTCGCCTTCCTTAATACTTACCCGGTCGACGGCAATCGCGGTAGGGGGACTCACCTGGCATCCCAGGGAATCCCCCTGCTTCCGATCCAGCCCTCCTGTGCATAGCCGTCCACAGCATTGCCAGCCGAGGGACTGCCTGGAATGACAGGTAGTCCCCCTGCTGGCTGTAAAATGTAAAATATAAGTTTAAAACAGTAAAAAATTAAATAACATATACTTAGATCATATATATATATACACACACACACACACACACACACATTTAAACATAAATACACTATCTGTTTTTTGTTTGTTTTTTAATTCTTTATTTTATTCGTGCATGAATGAACAGTTAGGTCTGTCACGCCACAATAGCAATGTGAGACCGTACATGAACAATCGGTAACATGGCATAAGAAATACTGTGCACAATTTTTTGTAAAAGTAAAAGTAACCAACAGGTTGAAACTGGATGTGTCAGTGACTATTAATGCATAAAGGTTACTGTCGCTTTGTTGTGTAATTTGACTCTGAGTAGTTAAGTATATTAAGGTAGCATGCTATGACATTGGTAGAGACATGAGTAAGCTAGTGCATGTGGGTCAGTACATTTAGCTTGGCAGTAGTGATGTCAGGTGTTTGCTCTGTATGTGCTTATAGTGGGCTAGTGAAGACCACATCAGATCTGGGCATGTGAGTTTATGTAGCTTGCCAGTTGAGTGGGGTGTCTGAACATACAGCTTGGCCATGGTCCTGGCCATGGTTCTGGCTTGTGAGATTTGCTTACAATTACAACAAGAAGAAAGTTATACGCAGAGCCGTCTTTAATTTTGACTACGTATAGATACACACAAATACACTACCTGACACAGATACAGATACACACTGACCGCATATAGATACACAAAAGAACATACAAATACACACACACTACATATAGATACACTGACACGCAGATAGACACACACAGATACACAACCTGACACACATGCAGATACACAGATACAAACACTGACATACATGCGGATACAAAGGTACACACACTGACTACATATAGATACACCGACACACACACTGACACACATACAGACACACAGATACACAACCTGACACACATGCAGATATACAGATACACACTGACTATATACAGATACACACACACAAACACAAACGGACAACATACAGATACAGAGACACATTCTGACAGACGTACTGACACAGAGACACACACAGACAGCCATACTGAAACACACATACACACAGACATACAGAACCACACGGACACTGACAGACTCACACATAGACATACCGACACACTGACAGACATACAGACATTCTGGCACACACACACATATATATATATATATATATATATATATATTTGTGTTCGGGGCATTCTCATCGGATATGAAATACGCTGGTGAAGAGGAATAAAGTAAAAGGAAATAGTCGGTTGAGGTGTGCCGAAACTCATGTATGCTGTAGGCCGGTAAATAGAGTGGGCTTACATAGAGGAAAATATAGCTAATGGGAGTGGAGGGTGGGCCTGTTCGTCTAGACCAACGAAGATAAGTAAGGGAAGGGGGGAGTCCCTTAAGTAGGTTTATAGCCCCTCCCACAACTTCAGGCCATGCCTTCCAATTTGTGTTCGGGGCATTCTCATCGGATATGAAATACGCTGATGAAGAGGAATAAAGTAAGGAAATAGTCGGTTGAGGTGTGCCAAAATCGATGTATGCTGTAGGCCGGTAAATAAAGTAGGCAAAAAGAGATAAATCAAAGAAAACATTTATTCAGAAAACATAGTACATTATTACATATTAAATAGACATCTTAATGAAAGCCCTCCTAATCTCTTGGACTGGGTGTGGGATGTAAGTGGCGTAAGCCGAGGACTTCCAGCAACCCAGTGTCTTAATTACGTGTGCTGGAATGTCTTGGCTAGATGCCGTGGATGCCTCTCCGATTCTGAAGGAGTGCCCTGAGTAGTTGCTAGGGTTAAGACCAAGTCTGGTGATAAGCATACGGACATAAAGCATGAATTTTGCCGTGGTAAGAATTGCATCGTGTAATATTAGTAGTGGTTTTGTGGTGCATGTTGGTGTTGTAGCTAAGAAAGCGTCCAGTACTTTCACCGGACACCAATTGTTCCCTGTGGGGTAGTAGGTTATGTGAACCGATTCCCCCATCTGACTTGTTTTGGTCTTAGGTAGGGTCAGGACATAGTAGTCTCTGTGTTTCATGAGGTAAGAGGTGAGGAGGCACCCTTGGCTATGGTGCTGGCCACTAATGGTGAATTCTCTTGGTCTAAGAAACCCATAAAACGCTAGATAAATGGTAGTTTTAATGACCGCATTCAAATGGTGCCTGGTCGAGAAGGTCAGACAAGGATTTGAACATTTTAATGTCAATGGCAAGTCTCTTGGGTGTTGCGGGGCCGTCCACTTTTGCTATGCCTTTCAGTAGTGTTCGGATGGGATAAGAAGTTAAGGACCCTTTGTGGTTAGGGAAGGAGCAATACATATGGTGTTGTATCCCCGTGAGATACAGCTTAATAGTATTATGTGAGAATTTAAATTTAAGGTGGTAAAAAGATGCAAAAGCTATCAGTGAAGAAACCTCGAACCAGTTGGCTAGGTGAGGGTCAGACATGAATTGTTTGTACAAGTGAAAAGCTCTGTGATACGCGTGTTGAGTGCTGGTGGATAGGGCGAACTTGGTGATAACGTGGCTGTGCTGAAGTAGTTCGTCTACTCCATGATAAGATCTTTGAAAGTTGGAACTGGGGTTGCTACACGAGCTCCCGAGGGTAGGGACAGTCTGAAAGCCTGAAATTGAAAGCGAGATAGTTGGTCAGCTGCCGTGTTGTATATGCCGGGAACATGAGAGCATACAATGTGGAACTGATGGGTAGCCGCCAGCCATGTCAGTTTCCTAAGGAAACTCATAATCGCCAAGGAGGAAGAGCACCCTTATTGATAATGTGGCATATTGCCAGGTTGTCAGAAAAGCAGCATACGGACTGACCTTTCCACAACCTACACCAAGTGACAGCTGCAGCAACTATCGGGTATACTTCAAATAGGGCTGAGTTAGTGTGAAAACCTTCAATGCCCTGTGTTTCTGTAGGCCAGGTCCCCCAGAGCCATTCTGTGCCGAAAATGGCCGCATATTCGGCAGATGATGCCGCGTCTATCCAAATGACTGGTGACTGTGAATCAATCTGCGGGAGGAACATGCTCCTCCCATTCCAGTCCGAGAGGAATTTGTACCACATCTGGAGGTCAGCGGTCGCAGGACAGTCCAAGGATATGCGGACATAGTCATTGGAGAAAGTGGGGAACAGGGAGAGGAGCCTAGAAATGAAAGCCCTGCCCTGGGGGATTATGCGCATGGCGAAATTTAGTGAACCCAAAAGTGATTGTAGTTCTTTATGATTGCAAGACCCGTTGTGAATGTAGTGGCTAATATCGTGTAGGATGTGAACGATATTTTCTCTAGAGAGGCTGGCCATCATTGTTGATGAATCCAGCAGAATACCAAGAAAGTTTATAATTGTGTCTGGTCCTTCAGTTTTAGTGGGTGACACGGGGACACCAAGGAAGGTGAATAGTTTGAGTGCTTTGTCTAGACTACGTGGGGGGTTGGAATTAGATTAGATGAAAAGAAAATCATCTAAGTAATGTATCACATTTGGGCACCTGCAGGTATTGAGGAGGAGCCAACACAAAGCTTCTGCGAACGTGTCAAAAATCCTCAGACTACTCTTGGCCCCAAAGTTGAGCTTTGTAAAAAAGTAGTAGGCGTCTTGCCACTTAACGCCATGCAGGTTCCACAAAGAGGGGTGTATAGGTAATAATTTAAAAACATTCACAATATCCATCTTGCTAAGCCAAGCCCCCAAACCTGAAGATCTGATAGCTGCAATAGCGTCATCAATAGTGGAGTATTGTAGAGAAAATTCCTAAGATGGGTTCAATGAGTTTAGGCTGGGGATGGATGAGGAGTGGGGTGCGGATAAGTCAATGATGAGTCTTAGTTTCTCAGAATTTTTGCTGGAAACCAGCCCGATAGGGTTAGTTCTCCAGCTGGAAAATGGGGGGTTACCAAAAGGCCCAATGACAAATCCCTGATCCACTTCAAGTTGTAACAATGTTGTGACTGCAGTAGGGTGATTAGTGGCAGACTGTAAATTGTGACACTCTAATACCTCTGTTGGCATGTAAATGAGCCCTGTGTGAAAACCTTGGGTGAGACCTGTACATAAAAATTCAACGAGGTGTTTGGAGGGGTGAGTGGACAGCATACATGCAAGTACAGGAACATTCACCAGAGACAAATAAGGTTTCTGGTACATTTTATTAGGGCACATGGATTTCGCATGTGCCCTGAAACAATGCGAGCATACGTGTAATAAGCGGCAGGCGCTGTAACCGCAGGAGCCCTCGTTGAAATTATTGCAAATCTGAGATTTGCCTAGGTACACTACTGGACGACCCAGTTTGTCTCTGGTCTGTTTCTCAGCCCTTGGGGGATGCTGTAAGGCTGAGCCGGGAGCGCTGTCCGGACAGAGCGGGCAAAAATTAGCTGCGTGAGCGGGTGACATACATATGACACAAGCTGAGGTCCTAAGCCCCGCAAAATGTCTGAGGAACAGTTCATTGTCCAGTTGGCTCCAATCCATCTGGATGCCGTACTGGGACAACGTGGCAGCCACTTTTGATGAAAAGGACTTGTGATAGTCGTAAAAAGTATAGCCACCATACTTATTACCAAGGTCCACCAGTTTATGCATATATAGATCCAGTTCCTCCCTCCTATAGGGATGAACCGTGTATAGAATATCTCTAAAGATACCGAAGGCCAGAACAAAATCAGGAATGGCCAGTTTCTTACTGAGTCTGGGGTCTCTGGCTTTTTAAAACCACCGAGATGTCCCTGTAGTTGTAAGACCGGTTTTCCACGAAATCCTGGGAGGCAATGAGCAGTGAGATTAAGTTAATGTCCTTGCCTTCCAGGATGTCCTTTTTAAGACTGGCCGGAACAATGTGGGCAGGATTAATAACGTGGGCGGCTGCCTTGGTGGATATGGAATTACCCGCTATTGCTGTGGGTATGGCCGGGATTACTTCGGTGAGAGGGCCAGGAGGCTGTACGGGGAAGCTACGGGCTTCCAGCCTGTCGTTGACCTTCCCCATGGAAGAGATTAGGGAGGCAACCATAGCATGGAGAGTCGGATCTTGAGAGCTGATTGTGCCTCCCCCTGCGTCTGTATTAAGGGTATCGGTTCTTAGCAATTTAAACAGTTCTGCTTTCCTGGCAGTAGCCGGGTAGGGGATACTGCGTTTACGTAATTCTACAGTGATGCGGGAGATAGTCCATGATCTGATGGATGAGGGACTTCCCATGTCGCCCTTGCAAGTCGGGGTAAGTGACCTAGCAGGGGTGCTAGGGATTGACATATCCTGGTAACCTATACCGGTGATGGGACGTAGGCCTCTCCATGAGTAGACGGGGGGGGTGTGGGGGTATTTGGCAGTGACTGGTGTCGCCCTCTCTATATAATTTGCGAGGCGACTAACTATGATTTGGCCCAAGGGGCGTATAGTACCTCGAAGTGGAGGATGGGAGTTGGCCTCACGGACCGCTAGGACTAAGGGGCAGGGAGAATAACTAAATGGCCGTGTTGAAAAAAACGTGAACCAACATACCTGCAGCAAAAGTGATCCCTGGCTTCTGTATAAGAGAAATCAGAGGTCTCTTAAGTAGGGGGGGTTTAGCTTAGATGACCCATCCAGGAGTATTCGGGGTTCCTGGGGGTATGAGAATTCAGATAATGTACTCTTGTAGGACATATACATAAGATTGTATAACTGAATGTAGTAAGCGCTTAGGGGGTGACCGCAGAGAGTACTGTCCCCACTGCAGACACAATGCCCCCAGTAGCCAATGTACTTTAACATCAACAGGGGTTAATTATCTTAACACTTTAAAGTTTACAACTATCAGTGCAGATAGCGTAAGAAATGCATGTACTATTATAACTACCATATTTGTCAAGCATGTAGTACAATATATAATGTAATTAACCAGAGTTCTATTAGCAGTAATTGTATACAGAACAACACAGTATTTACTGATTTAAAGGCATTTGTAATTGAATTATATATGTATTATACTCTGTATGGCTGAACTAGGGGTCAGCCAGCATCAGACCCGTACCATGCCCTCCTTCCCTCTTTAACTTATGCAAAACAGGCAGACTGGGTCTTACTCAGACAACCCAGCCCACTTCCCCCCCTTTCCCTGTGTGATGCCGGCGGGAACAGGGACCCCTAACGATATAGGGGTCTGTGAGGCCTGTTCCTGCCCGTGCCGTGTAGTTTGCCTCCCCAAAAACCCAAACTAACCTTCCCCCTTAAGCCTAAGTATAGCCGGCGGCCGGGAACAGGGACTCCTAACGGCAATGGAGTCTCTGTACCTGTTACCGGGCAAGTCGTGTCCAGCCAGTAAAACCCCCTGGCCTACCGCCCCAACGAGCTGGTGGGGAGAGAGGCCGGTTGGGTTGTGGAGCCGGTGGTGCCAGGCTGGAGAGCCGGTCGGGCCAGGCTGGAGAGCCGGTCGGGCCAGGCTGGAGAGCCGGTCGGGCTATGGAGCTGGCGGTACTCACGGTGTGACGTCGAGAAAGCGCCGCGTCTCACCGGAAGTGACGTCACGCAACAGGAAGCCGTTTAGACCAACGAAGGTATGTAAGGGAAGAGGGGAGTCCCTTAAGTAGGTCTATAGCCCCTCCCACAACTTCAGGCCATGCCTTCCAATATATATATAAAAATATGTAAATATGTTAAAAATGTAAATTAAAAAAATTATAAAAAAATAAATAAAAATATATATGTGTTATTTCGTTCTAACTGAATTGTGATATTAATATATATCTGTTAATATCAAAATACACGTAGAACAAAATATATATATATATCTATATACATAAGTATATATGTATATATCACTATATATATATATACCTATATATAAATAAAAATAATTTAAAAAAATTATATAGATATATATATTAATTCTATGTATATATTTATGTAATATTTTTACATATTTAGGTCATTTTATTAATTACAATTTGCGTGACCTGCCTGACAACCCAGGCCAAAAGTATAGGGAATTTAATTTGCTAGCATTATATTTAACCCTATAACTTTCCAAGACACCAGAAAACCTGTTCATGGGGGCTACTGTTTTACTCAGGAGACTTCGCTGAACACAAAAATTTGTGTTTCAAAACAGTAAACTGTATTATAACGATGATATCGTCAGTGAAAGTGAAGCTTTTTGCATTTTTCACACACAAATGGCACTTACACTGATGATATTATTGCTGTGATACTTTTTACTGTTTTGAAACACAAATATTTGTGTTCAGCGAGGTCTCTCGAGTATAACAGTACCCCTCATGTACAGGTTTTACGGTGTTTTCAAAAGTTACAGAGTCAAATATAAGGCTTGCATTTCATTTTTTTTTCACATAGAAATCCGCCAGATTGGTTACGTTGCCTTTGAGACCGTATGGTAGCCCAGGAATGAAAATTACCCTCATGATGACATACCATTTGCAATAGTAGACAACCCAAGGTATTTCAAATGGTTTATGTCCCGTCTTTGTTAGTAGCCACTTAGTTACAAACACTGGCCAAAATTGGCGTTCAAATTAAGTTTTTGCATTTTTCACACACAAACAAATATTAACGCTAACTTTGGCTAGTGTTTGTGACCAAGTGGCACATACTACCCCATTTGCAATACCTTGGGTTGTCTAATATTGCAAATGGTATGCCATCATGGGGGTAATTCTTATTCCTGGGCTACTATATGGTCGCAAAGGCAACGTAACCAATCAGGCGAATATCAACGTGAAGAAAACTGAAAAATGTAACATGCTATATTTGACCCTGTAACTTCCCAAAACACCATAAACCCTGTACATAGGGGGTACTGTTTTACACATGAGACATCGCTGAATACAAATATGTGTATTTTATTGCAGTAAAAGCAAACAGTATTATGACATTCACAGATAAAATGTCACGTAGAACTAAATTTTATTTTTTTAATTATTATTTTCTCCCTTTTTTTTATAATTTATTCATATTAAATTATGTTTCATAGCTAAATATTTGATGTTAAATGAAAGCCCTGGTTCCCCTGAATAAAATGATTTATAATAAGTGTGGGTGGATTTATTATGAAAGAGGTGAATTCAGTGGTGTACACACAATCCATGGGGCCCCGGTGCGAAACTGATCTGTGGGCCCCCCCCCTCCCTTCCTCTTGCCCTGCCGCCCGACAGACACACACACACACACATACAGGCAGACAGATACATACACACATACA